GAGAGAGAGAGAGAGAGAGAGAGAGAGAGAGAGAGGGAGAGAGGGAGGGAGTAGCATAAGGTACCAATCGCTGTGGCGACTAAAGCTTGATTAACAGCATTATGAGCAACCACTAGCACAGACCGTCCATTATGCCTAAGAATTTTATCCCAACAATTACGGGCACGTGCCCATAGCTCCCTGACTGGGTAGTGGCCATCTATGTTAAAATTTGCAGCATCTATTTGCCATTGCCTATAGGCATTGCCAAATTTTGACTTTCCCTCATGTTTCAAAAGGCCCTAGAATATATCAAATTGACCAGTTAACAAAAAAGACATTCATGAATAAATGAAGTTCAATAGTAAAAGACTAAAAAGATGGTCATCAATCATCATATGCCATAGCCAAAAAGATCATTTCACTTTTACCATCTAAGAAAAGCTTGGACAGTGTTTGCAGATGAGTAGGATACGAACTAACTTGAAATGAGTAAAGGTCGATCTCCCTAAGGTCAGGTTCAGAAATCATCTCATCCTTTCGATAGAACCATATAATCTCAGCCGTCCGTTTTGATCGACTGAGGGGACTGCAACCAAACGAAAAAGAAAAGAAAAAAACAATCATATCTCCATTCCTATATTATTTTTTTAACACACCATTAAACATAATGTTTCATATAATAATAGAAAATATTTGGTCAGTCCACTGAATCATGTGTCCACCCTCGTTTTAGAAGGATTTAGGACCCAAATCAAATTCCGAATCACTGTAAATCCATTTCTGCCTTAGATCCATGAATTTGGAGCTCCAAAAACAGTGCAAATCTGATGATCTTCGCAGAATTAAAATGAACAGTCCAAAAATAAGGTAAAATAGAACAATTTAAGTGTCCATATTTTTTTTGCCAGATTCATCTTTGTGATGTCCTTAAAGCCAAAGTTTGGAGTCGAGGCACAACAGGGTACTCTTTCTACTATTACAATAGTAGAGATAGTTTCAAAACGAACAGTTGCGAATTTATTATCTGATATAGAACATTCATATCAATAAATTGCAAACCATTCAGTGAAAAAGAAAAGAAAAATTGTTTCAAGTGGTGGGACCGCATTTCTACATTTGCGGCCCCCAAGTTATAAAGCATCCATCTTAATGATGGATGCAAATGGTGGTCTATCTAAAATAATTGAAACTAACAGTCCAAATGTTTTTTTAATAGAATTATAATTTTTAATTTTTAAAATTTATTTATTTTTTCATATTCACGATCTTCATGTTAGATGTTACATGTCCTTAAAAATTATGTCCAAAAATCCATCTCAAAAATAGATTTTTAAGAGGTGACTCATTTCTACATGGACTCATAAAAACCTTGTCCAAAAGAAAAGGGGGAGGGGACTCCAACTTCTTTATACGCTAAACCCTAAACCCTAAAGCATATACTGTAATAAAATCCTTCTCATGAACTGGTTTGGTCCTATCTAAATGCACAAACAAACATCACCATGTCTCGCCATGTGACTATGTCTAAGTGACCATCATCAATAAGAGTCACAACAATCAGACTGTTTCAATTCAATCCATTATAATTGAAAAGAGAAAAAGTATTAATCGAGTGATTTCATACTAATAAGAATTGCCAATATTTCGGTTTCTCAACACCTTATTGAACGCTTGTGGTGTCATGATTTTGTCAAAGAGATCCACTTTTCCCAAAATAATCAATAAACTTACAATAAAAATTTGCAATTTTGAGCATTGAGTTTTCATACTAATAAGAATTGCCAATATTTCCTTTTCTCAATACCTTATTGAACCCTTGTGGTGTCGTGATTTTATCAGAGAGATCCTCTTTTACCAAAATAAAAATTTTCAATTTTTGAGCATTGAGTATTTATTGATCTTACAAAGGAATTGAAAAGTGATTCAATAAATTAACTCTAAAATAAATGGATTCAGTGGTTCTCTTCATCATATGAGAATAGATACCCCAAAATTTTTGGTAAATTTTTTATCCAATGGGCTCACTTTTTTTTTTTTTGTTGTGTTTATCATTGTGAATCCCCTTTATATTTGGCAAATTTGTTGCTATGGGTTTTCCTTTAATGCATTAATTTATTAATATACTATTGGTTACCAAAATAATTTTTGGTGAATTATCCAGTATTCATGCTCAAGAGATAACAAAGAATGAAATTTACAATGAATCATCTCTCCTTATCCATAATTGTAATTTCTTATGTATATTAATTATGAGACTATTTATCAATTCATACAAAGAGGTCACAATGGTTAATAGCCATTAAATTGGATGGCTTGGGGTGTGACACAAAGTTCAAAAAATTATTTTTGAAGTTTGAGTTTAGTAAATAACACACTTGCAATCACTTCACTGATTAAAAATGTCTGACAAGCGTGAATGTTACCTCCGTGTATTAAAACACTGATTAAAAATGTCTGACAAGCGTGAATGTTACCTCCGTTTATTAAAAGTAAATGGCCTCTTTGTATGCTTTTCCTCTGATAAATTCATAACTAAAATACCACAAAAACTGAGTTTACTCCATTGATCCTATATGTAAAAGACATTCCTCTCTATCTCTTTGGATTTCACACACACAACCGATTTCCTCTCTCTCTCTCTCTCTCTCTCTCTCTCTCTCTCTCT